TGAGAAACGAAATCAAATATAGATAAATGTATAATTACTCTTAAATAATAAAAAAAATTTTAACTAATTATTACTTTTTTTTACCATTATATTAATATATTCAAAATTTAAAATTCTTCTAAAAAAAATATATATATAGAATTAATAAAATTTAAGCGAAAAGAAAAAAAAAAGAAAATTTTTTCATTTAAATTATTTTCCTAATTATAATATCTTAAACAAAAATTAAAATATTTAATCGCATAAGTATTTAACTTAATTTCAATTTATTTTTTTTAATCTGTATCTGTAAACAGTGATTGTGAAAGATAAACAGAAGATAGTTTATTACATTATAAACGCATTGTACGCATGCATGATTCATGATGAACACAACCTCGTTGAATTTTTATACCGTTAGAACGAGCTACAGGTTTTCTTGTGATACTTCATTCGATATTTATTTCTAGAATTCAATATATTTCTCTCTATTATTATATTTTTTTTATTATATTTCTGTTCACTAATTTTTAATATTAAAATTACCAATCTATAATATAAAGTTAAATATATAAATATATATACAGATAGTTAATGTTTATTAATTAATAATTAATAAAATAAAAATAAAGATTATATATATATATAAAAATTATCAACAAAATTATTTATTATAATTATCAATAAAAACCAATATTAATTTGGTTAAAATGTTTGCATTTATCAATAATAAAATTAATAAATCTAAATCCTATTATTTTGAATAATATTAATTGAAGTATTGAAATATTTTTTATATTTTACCTATTATTAATATCTTTTTATTTATTATATAAAAAATTTCTATAATAGTAAAGTAAATTATTTAAGAAAAGTGATAAGCAATTAAAAACAATTAAAAAAATAATGATGCAATATGATATAATAAAAATGAAGATTTTCATTTTGTATTTATAAGGATATAAATATATTATCATAATATAAATATATTACCACAATTTTCATTAAAATTATTTAAATGTTTTAAACATAAAATTTTTTAAGATAAATTATAAAAAAAGAATTAATTCAAAAAAAAATCAAAAATAAAATTTTTGATTTTTAATAAGAAATAAAAATGAAATTTATTCTTGAAAAAGAATATTAAAATTCAAGAAGCTAGAATCGAATTAAAATGAATTCTTTTATCAAAAATTACAATTATTAGATATTTTGAAAAATTTAAGAGAAATGAAGAACCAATAAAATTATTTAAAAACAGTACTTTCGAAATTTAGATATTCCAACTTTTACATTTTTTAATGATCAAGTTTAGATCAATATTTATGAATAATTCTTATCTAATGTTAAAGAAAAAAAAAAAAGTGATTAATCATTTATTTTATCATTGATCATGAAAATCACGTGAAAAGCGATTTTTTTTTTGTGACTTCAATGGCATAAAATTATTAATTTTGTTATCACTACTATATAAAATCAAAAAATTATTATTTAAATTAAAAGAAATGTGTATAAACATATATGTATTGAATGTAATTCGAATTTTTCATTATATTTTTATTAATCTTCTTAAAGAGTTTTTTTTAAATAAAATATATATATATTCTATAATTCTAAATTTTATAATTAAAATTGTTTGAATCCTTGATATTATTCGAAAACGATGTATTATGTTGTTTCGTGTTAAATATATCTATTTTAAATCTAAAAATAATTGATTTAAATAAAACGTCACAATAAATTCGAATAAAATCGACCAATAAATTTATTCACGCAGCAAGTATTAATTAAAACTAGATTTCAATGAACTTTTAAAATAAAGAAAATGTGAGGTTAGATTTGATTTGATTTCATTGACTTATTCATAAATCGACGAGTTTCTATAGTGCAAAACGCATTGTGTGCTGTTCCAATGTTGATTTCTGAAACGTTGACTTCTGAATCATTTGATTTCGTTACAATATTTGTTGAAACGAGTGACGAAAGCGCCAATGGATTTCTGTGAATTCCGCTTTCGTCTGTTTCTCACGGTCGGTAAATTATCTCCGTGAGAGACGTGGCAGCCGATAAAGAATGCAAGATTCGTCAAATTATATATATAAATTTCTAATCATTAAAAGAAATGATATTAAATACTTTTTATTGTCTATTTTATTGTCTTTTATTATCTATTTTTGCATTTTTTATATTTTTCTTTGTAAAATATATACGAATAATAGTTTTGTCGCAATCGCAAGTTTTTCCATAATGTTTGGTCTGCTATTTTTAATCTAGAGTTTCTTAACATTTACCACTTTACTGAATCATCAAAGAAATATTTCAGTAGCGTATATATGCAATGTATCATTCGCAATTTAGCTTCTAGAACCTTTTTTTTTTTCTAATCTAAAACTAAAATGCCAACATTTAAGAAAATGAAACCCGTCGACTAGATTGAGATCTTGCGTCACGCGACCTAACCTAGACATATTCATACAAAATTTCTAGGGATGTTTTTAGAGACATTACAGAGAAAAAATATATTTATCATATTTAGAATGGATCTAAGATTTGTTTTTTAATAGATGAAGCATATATTTATTATTTTTTATATAAATTAAAGTCAATAATAAATTTTTTCCAAAAATCTTTACAATTTTTAATATTATCTATGTTGAATATATTATTAAATGCATGGATTGCAATGAATATTTAAGTCCGATTTTTAACGAAACATTATAAAATTAGTCATTTAGTCATCTAGTCATTTAACATTTATTTAAGATAATATTTATTATGTTCAATTCTTGTCAAAACAAAATAATATAATTTATAAGTTTAATTTTTATAAGAAATGTTATATATGTATTTAATTACAAATTATTAATTTTCAGATATTTATTATTTACTTCTATAAATATAATTAGTGAAAATAAATTGTGAATATTATTTAATATTTTTGATATATATTTTAAAAATATGAAACTATTAAGATTATTGAATAACAGCTACCTTCAGGACACCAGTATTGTATTTTGCCCATAGTGTCGCCCCAACCATTCACTGCGTTTTGCTGAACATCGCCTTGCGAAATTTCTATGATTTCTCCCATTGTTTATTCAAACACTTCCAAAAAAAAAAAAAAAAAAAAAAAAAAAAAAAAAAAAAAAAAAAAAAAAAGATTCTATTCTTGTTATAGGAACAATTGATATTTTAAAATTTTCTTATAAATATTTTTATAAATCCATCCAAAATTGATATAACTTTCATTTCGATTTTCATGTACTACAACTATTGAACCACCAACACATTCAATATTCCTTTAAAATTAAAGCATTGGCGAGGTGAAATCTCATGAAACTCTCACATTAGTCACCGTTTTAACAAAATCGAAAAAAAGCAGAAAAAATATTCATTTCTAAATAAGAGTAATACACTTTGAAAAATGATTACACGTTCACCGATCAAATAAAACACTCGCGTAACTCATTCGAGAAAATCAGTTACAGATTTCATGTATGTCGCGAACTCGATTGATCGCATGAGTGACTCGATCACGAACTCGCACTATCTTCACAGTGCATCGGTCTTCAAGCCGGCTTTACTGCTGAAAAATTAAAGCAGGATTTTCAATTGGCGTCGAAAGACCGTACGATGAACGAAATATTGTAACACAATAGTTTGTTCGAAACTTTCACAAACACATATAAACGTTGTGATCAAGAACTTGAGAAATAAAAAAATAAAAGAAAGAGAAATCGTCGTAACAATTATCACAAGGAGAACGAGATGAAAAAACCATTAATGTAACAATTCCGTCATCTTGTGATGACACATCGCGTTTGGTCGATTGGTCGTTGTCATTGCGCTTTCTTGCACTCGATACCACACAGTTCGTCGCAAGATCATGTAAAACATATTGTTGAATGGAAAATTGGGAAAACAATGGTACCCAAGGAACAACGGCAAAGCGTCGTCGAACACAAAATTGTACACGAATGACGTGCCGGTCATTCATGGAGCCCGCCGTCATGCTGATGGAATGCGCACATCATGGTGGTAAAATCGTAGCGACCAATCAGCGTCCATCTCGCACCGGCTTCTGCGTTCACGAACCACGCGCGCCACGTGACTTCACTGCTCGACCACGTGACAGCGTTGCATCTCCCACCAGGAGGCTTAGCACACGACATGATCGCATGACGTCACGACCAGCTGACTGCGCTAGTACGATTCCCTACTCCTCTTACTCGTCCTGCTGCTGTCTGCTGCCTACTGCTGCTACTTTTACTCCTTCTCTGCTTGACTTCCATTTTTCGATGAATCCGTTTTGAACGAAGTTGATCCGAAATTGATGCGATGCGATGCGATGCGATGCGATGCGATGCGATGCGATGCGTTTCGCACGATTCGCCCGCCCGCCCGCCAAGAATAGGTTCAGAAGATGATTTTGATGCGATGGCAAAGCTTTTCGTGGAGATTGGAAAACAGAGTAGTAGACAAATGCTGCATAAGAATTATTCGAAGAATATTCTAAAAAGATATCTATAATTTGGAATGTAGATAATGTAGAGAAAGACAGAAAAAAATCTCTGACATGTTTCCTAGTTTTTTTTAAATTTTATATATGAATTAAATTTAATAAATATTTATGGGAAGACGTAGAAATTTAGCAAGGCAATATTTCAAAGAATAAAAGCCTCTTTTATTGTAAATATTTCGCTGTAAAGATAAATGTTTATCTAAATCTATTTAATGATTTATGATCCTGCTCTTCTAATATAATTCAATAAATTCAGGAGTCAATATTATTAAGTAAAATATTTGCAAAATTAGTTACATAATTTTTAAAAGATATTATTTGAGTTATACTTATATAAATTATATAAATGTAAATATAAGTTATAAATGTTAACGAGACTGTTTTATAAATAGATAAATTATTCAAAAAATCCTTAATATTATTAATTTTTAATATAAAGTTTTTGTTTGTATTTGTCAATATATATATATATAATTTTTTTATTACTTTGTTTACTCACCAGGATCGAAGTCAGTCCCTCCAGCATCCATACCACCTGGATTTCCATATCCTAGAAAATAAAAATAATTTTTATTATTAACAATTATACAAATTATACAAAAACGTACACTAGATAGCGTTTACATCACATTAATCTATTTCACATAAATCATGAAATTATATAATAAAAATTTATATAGAAATTATATAGAATGTTTATTATGAATTCTATAATTTTGTAGCTTATAAAAATATATTAATCTAATAACCATATCAAAAACACAACAATAAACTTAACCTATTCAAACTATTCTTTAATATTAATAAAACAAAAAATGGAATAAGAAAGCACACCATGTTTATGACATTTTAAAATCTTATATGACAGATCAAAATGAAAAATTGTAGAGCAATATAAAAAATACAAATAAGATAAAAATAATAATAATAATAAAAATAAAATATATAATAATATAATAGTACATATTAATTATTTTACTGTTAAATATCATTAATATCATTAAAATCAATGTTTAAATAACAACAATATTATAACAATCAACGTTACTTGTTATTATTGTCATATTATTATTTAATTATTGACAAACATTTGTACCGTCGTTCCGCGTGCCGTCCATTAGAAGCATTACATAATTTTTCACGTTATCAACGTCAGTTACAAGTTGAATTTATTGCCGTTTTTTCGCGCTCGAAGTCACGCGTTTGTGCTTGATTTCAACAAGTATACTTATAAAAGCACTTGTGTTGAATGTATATTTTCAAATATTGATTGACGCCCTGGTATCCCCGTGAATATTTGTATTCTGTAATCAGTATTTGTCAAGTAACGAATGTAACACGCTTAATTTCAAATCTCACTGGAATATCGATGGTCGGCAAATTATCGCGACATGCATCGTTCAAGTATTTTTCAATGATAATCGAATTACTTCCATCACTAGCCGAGATACGTAGATACACGCTGTAGTCGTTTCGTTTCGAGGCCAAGAGTCAGCTACTTCTGGGGTGGGGATCGCCTATGGCACGTGTGAAATTTACGCGAATTGTGGCTAGACATGGTTCCTTCGTTTTGCGTGTGCGCGTTTGTTAATATGTGTATTTTGTATGTGTTAGCTTTCCGTTGCGCGTATATCGTATGCGTGTGTACCAGATAGGTAAATCAGCGGGTTACATCACGCGTGTTCACCCGGGACTATTCCGGTTGTTCGACCAAGCGCGGTCAGGGTGCCTGTCACACGGAACTGACAACACAGAATGATTCCTGATGAGCATGATTTCAAAAAGAACACCTGATATAAAATAATATTGTGATATATGAAAGACAGTATCGGAAATTATGAATGTTGAATTGACAAGAGCCTTAAACATAAAAGAAAAAGAATATGGAGAAAAGAAAACAGAAACAGAAAAGAAGAAAAAGAAAAAGAAAATTTAAAAGCACGCATACAAAGAAAGAGAGTGAAGAGTGAAATTGCGTGCGTGTGCGCGCGTGTGTGTATATGTGTGTGTGCGTGCACGCATACGTACATATAAAGAAAAGAGAGAAAGAATGGAGAGAGAGAGAGAGGGGGAGAGAGAGAGAGAGAGAGAGAGAGAGAGAGAGAGAGAGAGAGAGA